AGGGGGCTAAATCCTTGTTGACCGGCCTATGACTGTCTTTCTGAGACCATCGCTCTAGTTGAAAGAAGAGCACAATCGGAGCCTCGCGTAGAGCATGCGGATAAGGTTGCATGTGCCACTGTTGAATGCTCGCCTGCAAACCATGCTGATGAATTTCCAAAAGGATGGGCTGTTGAGTGTGACCTGAGTCATGTACGAAAGTAAGAGCACCAAGGCTTGTGCGCGCCTGCCACTGTCCATTGTAAGCAACTGGCGTCGCATACTCAAGCATGTAAACCAAAAACTCGGCTGCATCCTGTTGTCGAGTGAGGTCCAGACGCCATTGTCTCAGAAATTGCAACCAAAATTTACTGTGGAGTAAACAAGTGCTGCCAACCTGACGTAGGTGACCACATGGTTCCTGCAGCCTGCCAAGGAAGCATGCCCGATCCAGGTAGGTGTCATGTATCATGCTAAACCAAATGAACATCTGCAAGATTGCATGCACGTAACATAGGTTCCCGGGGTTTCGCAGACTGAGACGAAGAAAAGGTCTGGAGCATCCACGAAGTAGGGTCCAGCTCAGCTCTTGGTGGTCTCTGCACCCTCCTTTTCCGTGGCCTCCGCCGCTTCCGGCACTGTCGGCTCGGCTCGGATCGCTGGGGATTTGGGAGCTGGCTGGGTCCTCCGTCCCTGCCTCGAGGGGCTCATCCTCGGCTCCTTGTCCCGGCCTTGTCCCTTGCCCTGTTTGCCCCTGCCCATTGCCATTTCCGGTGGCGGGAAGTGTTCCGCCAAAACCTTCGCCAGAGGCTGGCGCTCCATCTTGGCTGGGCGGATGCCGAGCTTGAGAAGCTGGGAGCTGGCGTTGAAGCATAGCAAGGACAGTGCCCTGTAGCACAGCAGGCTTATCGAAACCAGAAAGGTCACCGGTGACTGGTGACTTTCCACCAGCCTGCGTGTGGAATGAAATCGCAGGAGGGTTCTAGGTGCCGAGATGGAGCTTTCCAGTGTGGCCAGGGCCGTCATCAGGTCCGTGTGGGACAGAGCAGCCATGGGAGCCTCCTCCAGGAGCTGTCGTTCCTGATTCCACCTCAGGTAGGGCCACTCCATGCTCCTCCCCTCGTTTGTTTGGCGAAGAAACTTCATCATAGCCAGCTGTTCTCTGTCCTCCGGTTGCTCGAGGCTGGTCGTGATCTGCTTGATGTACTGCTTGATCAAGCCCAGAAAGAGGACCAGCCGAAGGCTGGAGTCCACCTTGCCCTCCTCCTTCTTCTCCTTCCAAACCACTGCCATCCGGAAGAGAATCACCAACATGTTGGCCGAGTTGTCGTTGGTACCTGGGGTCGGCGGCTCGAAAGTGAGTACAAAATCGCGCTCTGTTCGTCCTTGTGACAGCTCGTCTTCGTGTCTCAAAGACATTCGGGCAAGGAGGCGGACATGCTCCTGTAGCTGCTCCAGCTCTTGGCGGAGTTTCTTGATATCCTGAGTCTGATACCAAGAGGTGTTCGACTCCCATTGGCGCCACATCTCGTCCTGTCGCTGCCGTGTCTGCTCCTTGGTCCAATTCTTGGGATTGGCCGGGCGATCCTGCCATTGGTCCGAGCTTTGACCCGAGCCGTGGCTGGGCTCCGATTCCGGAGGGTAGTGTGAGCCCTGGCCCTGCCCCTTTCCAGCCGGCTTGGAGAATTTGGCTGGGCCCTCCGCCAGTCTGTGTTCCGCCCGCTTCCCCAGTGCCGAGGTGGGTGGCATTTCCTCGTCCTCCCCGTGAACTGATGGTCGCCACCGCTTTGTTCAGGATGTCCGCTACTTCCTGAGCCGCCTGCATAGTGGGCTCCATGATCAGCAGCTGAACTTGCCGAAGACACTAACCTCAGAGCACGCCAGTGATGCAGCATCAACCAGAGCTGATGAAGTACACGACATCTGTGTCGCCCACGAGGTGCTGCACCGCAAGCGTGACAAGGCCGGGCCTGCCCTTCTCGGAGGGTCAAACTGTGAGCCATAGCATTGTCCCAATGAAGCATGAGATCAGGATGAATAGCTTTCACATGCAACGCCATGGAACCTGGAGCTCTGGCGACCCATTGATTGCACAATATGCAATGATGTTGCAGAACTGCCTTCATATTGGTGAGCTGCAAAATGCTTTCCCAATCCCCGGCTGCAAGAAGGCTTTGCACTGAGGGTTGCTCAAAGGGAGCCTGTGCTTGTGTGTGGTCAGACTCTGAAGGGAGCTCCGCAGCGGACTGCCTAGCAAGCTCCTGTCAAAGCAGACCGATCCGTCTTGGCAGAATGCAGAACAACACAGCTAGAGAGAACATGTACACGAAATTGATGCCAAGTTGTTAGGGTACATCCACAGTGTTTGCAAATGGGCATCTGATTGATACAATGATCTTGTACTCGAAGACCGTGCAATCTACTGGCAGAACCTTTAGTGTCAACCTGCAGTCTGCGCCCATGCATGCGAGTGTGATGTGCGCGCATTCCAGCCAAAGTGCAAAAATACTGACCACACGTTGGGCAGTCAAAGGCTGCTGCACATGAAACTTCCTGTAGACCATGTTGCAAAGAGAGCCTATGATTGCGCAACTCGTCCAGGCGGAGCTGAAAACTGACAGGCACAGCAGCCTTTCGGCTCATCAAAGTGCGAATACGACCCTCCATTTGCTTAATCAAGCTGTCGCCAGGCTGCTGTATCTTCAGTCGAGCATAAAGCTGGGCATTGGTTTCCCTCGTCAGATGCACCGGACTCCGAGCTATTGCCCGAACATGCTTGACCTCAAAGACATGAAGTTTGCGAAACCCTGCTGAAGTTACTCCTACAGGTAGCAAGCCGTAAAGCGCAGCCGTGCGTACACACAAGAAGTATAGTTGCAGACGTTTGCGCATCGTCAAATACCGCCTAGCATGTAGAACACGAAGAAGTCGTCCGCGGGTACTGTGAGCAACTGCAAGCCTAGAGTCGAGGGTGGCATCTTCGAAGTTCCCATAGGAGATTTGTATCCCCAAATAGGTCATGCTGTCTCTGATCGGTATGACAAGCTGATCATGCGGAGGGCCTAGTACGAGACGTTTGTTGCCTGACGGGCCGTGTATGTGGGATGCCATGAAAGCTGTACCAGAAACACCCCTGATTCCAATAATTACTCCTGACTTCAACGGGTTGACTTGCATTCCGAAGGCCCGGTAAATACGGAATATAACAGGGATAGATTTCAGCGCTAGCTTCAAGGATTCCAGAGACTCCACGGTCCAACTGGCGTGGGTGTCGTCGGCATATAGCGTGAGATGTTCACTGACCCAGGACATTGTAAGCTCTTCTGCAATATGATGCGTGATGTAAGCAGAGTAGACTGCCCACAACAGTGGTGCTAATGTACATCCCTGACGAACACCTCTCCGCATACAAATGTGTCGCACACGTCCTCTGTGTTGAATGCTGTATCTACAGACCTGGTGTAAGTCTAATACTGCATTTGCCAGGATATCGCTGGAACCAGCCCAAATTAATGCTTGGAGAAGCTTGTCTCGGGGCACCATGTCGAACGCAGTGGAAAGGTCAATGGCTAATTGGATTCCTCCGATGACATNNCCGTAACACGTGTTATTGCCGATTCCAGGGATATATGCGTGTAAAGGGTACTTCATGAGGGTCTTGTCGACTTCCTGCAGGAGGTGCCCTTTGAGGATTTTGGCGTACGCCTTAGCCCCCGCGTCCTGTAGTCCTAACGGCCTCAGATTTTCTGGTCTCTTAGCCGGTTTATGCGGTTTCGGAATCATTGCAAGAGAACAATCACTCCACAGGCTCGGGGTTTGTTCGCCTCTCAGGCATGCAGCTGCTTGTGGTGCAGCCACCCTGGCGATCATATCTGCACAAGCCCGCATAGAACTGGATGGTGCGCTATCTGAGGGTACGGCTCTTCCAACTTTGAGAGAGCGAAGAGCTTTCTCAAAGTCAGCCGGTGTAACCTGATAATTGGAGTGACTGCTGGGACAGGGCATAGTCATCGCTGGCATGTGTGATTGAAACAGCTTCTCAAAATAGTCGATGATGGCCTGGTGCTCCTGTTGATAGGTCAACATTTCGCCATTCCGACCATGGATACGAACCTGAGTACGCTGTGTCTTCGGTGCCAGTTGGCGAATGATACGATGCAATTGTCCGTGATCCCCACGCCTTACTGCTTCGCGAGCCTGAACCAGTTGTTGTTCCAAAACAGCTTTTCGTGCTTCCTTGCCCTTTCGTTTCAGGGCCTTGTATGCTTTCTGAAAATCCCGATGTCTTAGCCAAGCCTGAAAGCACTGTCGAAAGCTTTGGGGCGCATTACCAGTAGTGTGTTGCATCCGCTTGCGAGCCCGCCACATATCAGCAACTGAGATCTGCACTTCTTCAGTCTGCCATGCCCTCTGAATGGTTGCTGTCGGCCTCTTCGGAAAGAGTTTGCAAACCACCTCCAGCAACAGATCATTGAGCTGTCGCAAGGTAGGGGCCTGGAGTTGTGACAACCTGTGCTCGAAGGTGGTGCGGAGGGCCTGGTACGAAGAGGTTTTGTCGCGGACCGCCTGATTGAGAGCTTGTGAGTCATATGATGGCCGAGGCTGTGTGGCTGGCCTGACCGATGCTCGTTGCCACCCAGGATGTAGTGGGAGCGAAGCCTGAACAGGATAGTGTCTGCCACCCATGCGCCAAGGGCTGAATGTTACATCCTTCAGTGGTATCGATCGCCTCGCTTCCAGATCTGCATGTCCCCGCCTTGTCAGGGCAAAATCAATAAGGGATTTGTGTTTGGATCCGACAAAGGTGTCCAGGGATCGTCTTCTGGACCACGTGTTGAGAGCTACTAGCTGATGGGCTTCCAATATGGTAGAAAATTCAGCTGCATCCGCATAAAGCTTGGCACGCGGCAACTCGTATCCAGTGTGTCCTGGCACATGAACTGGCGTGCAGTTGAAGTCCCCTAGCACCACCAGCAAATTGCGACGAGCCAAGCCTTGGATAGTAGTGTTGAGACGGTCCTACAGGGCATGCCTTTTGGAGAGATTGGTTCCCGAGGAGTCCGGCTGGTATGCATGTTGATAAAAATTCAAGATGTCTATGTTGTACTCTGCTCTCGCAACTCGTACATGAAGCAGCCTGCCAGGTGTAATGTCCTGTTGGTGCAACTCGGCATCTCCCATGAAGTCCTGTCGCACCAGTGTAGCCAGGCCCTGGAATCTTGTAGTGCTGTCTATGCATGTCACAAAGGTCCAACCTGCAGAGCTCCACTGTGAGGATTGTTTGCCCAAGCCGTGGTGCACTTCCTGCAGCGCAATGATGTCAAAGGGTGCTTCTGGCAACCATTTCATAAAGCAATCAAATGTTGCTGTGTCCATCCCTCCAAGATTGAGACTCAGAGTTCGAAGCCTGGAGCGTTGGCGCCGTGTTGGCTCCAAGGGCCGTGTGGTAGTCGGACTAGGCCTGGGACGAGTAGGCGCAGAAGGAGCCGGTCTCGATCGCAAGACTCGGCCTCTGTACATGGTAGTTCCATCTGTCGCCTGCTGGGCTCTACGCATGGCTCTAGCATAGGCACGCTTGCGAACTCGCTGCCGGCCTGTTGTTGTAGTCGAACTTGTAGCAAAAGAGGAAAAT